GACGACGAAGCGTAATTGAACTTATTTTCTCTTTCCTTACAGCGTTATACTCATGATGACATCTCTCGGGAGATAGGGTTGAACCTTCGGCGTTGTCTTCCTTACTTTCTCTCTCGGCTGGAATATTTTCGTTTAGTTTTAGCATATCCATACACTACAGAATTAGCGAGTTATGATACTTTCAATATAGCATATCACCCTCTCCTTATTTCCATTAGTAAAAAGAAACCATGTCCAAAACTAGACGCAAAATAGTAGTGTAGTCTATGCGAATCGAAGCTTTTATATTCTTTTCTCTTTCCAGGACATTAAGAGATATGCATTATGCTGTGGTAGCTCGGATAAGCTATCATATAACAGGCATGGTACATGGTTCCGTTTCAACATTAAATCTAATGGCCATGTCCGTCATCTTCGCGCTTCTCGGGATCCAGTTTAATCATGGTATCGATTCTCATGATGGCAATGCATGCTTCGACGGCACTCTTAAGCTGCTTCACTTTACTCATGCTGGGTTCCAGGACACCAGCCTTGACGGAATCAGTTACTCGGCCCTTCAGGAGCTCGAGCCCGTAGTTTCGATAGTTCTTTTGCTTTGCGATAGCTTTATCGGCTTCATTGGCAACGCCCTCTTGGACACGGAGGGCGTGGGCGTGGCGAGAGCGTAGCTGGGCTACAAGCTCGGACGCGTCTTTGGCGGCATTGACAGCCAGTGTCTTGGGGATGATGAGTAGAGACTGGGCAAATTCACCGATTGCAAGTTGCTCTCGGGAGCTCTAAACATGGGTGGTCAATTGGGGTTTCGCCAAATGTAAAATGTTATAATCAGAGTCTACTTACCACTGTGCTTGCAAACTCCTCAAGGTAGATGTGAAGAGCTGTCTCTACAGCACCGCCTCCAGGAACAATGGAACCACTCTCGAGTGTTCGCTTGACAGCACACAGAGAATCATGGACTGATCGTTCCATCTCGTCTAGTTGGAAATCGTTAGATCCACGGAGAATGATTGACGCGGAGCTGAAGACTTTGGTTCCCTTGACCAGAATACACTCGTCATCGGATATTCTCTCCTGCACAACTTCGTCTGCGTAGCCCAAGCTGGAGGTTTCAAACTTCTCGTCTCCGTTGAGATCAGAGAGCGTGCTGAGGAGAGTGGCACCGGTAGCCTTGGCGATTCTTCGCAAGTCTTCCTTCTTGCATCGTCGAACAGCCATGGCACCCTTTTCTACAAACATCTTCAAGCACATGTCATCAATTCCCTTGGTGGTGAAGATGACGTTAGCACCAGCCTTGAGGATCATCTCTATTCTGTCAATGACAATGCCAGCCTCTCGCTCACGGATCTTCTCCAGCTGGGTTGGATCTTCAACAGTAATGTGAACTCCGAGCTTCATTCGCTCCTTCTGAAGGTTCATGTCAAGACAGGCAATTTTTGCATCTGTTATTCTGGTGGGCATAGCCTGGGACGCAATAGTGCAGTTCAAAGCATAACCGTTTACCAGTATCGACTCCGTGGCACTCTTTCCGTGTGCTTTAAGCAGGTTGACCGCCTTGACGGGGTATTTTACTTCACCCTTGGGAGATGTCGTCTTGACGGAGAGCATAGCATCGACAACCATCTTTGCAAAGAAATCCATGTCCGACCCGATAATCTTGCTGGACATGGAGGTTTTGGCAATGTTCAGCATGCTGTCTTTCTCCAAGTTTTCGACCTTGATGCTGATGTTTTCGTTCATATATTTTACAGCCTCGCGGAGGGCCAACCTGTATCCGGTTATGATGGTGGTGGGATGTATCCTATTCTTCATCAATTCGTTTCCACGTCGAAGGAGTTCCGCTGCTATCAACACGACTGAGGTTGTGCCATCTCCAACCTAGTTGACCGTCAGCGAGCCGTTGATACTTGCTGATATGTATAAAAACAAAAGCTTGAAGTACCTCCTTGTCTTGCTGCTGGGCGAGATCGACCAAGATCTTTCCAGCCGGGTGTTCGACATCGAGTAAGCTCAAAATCGTAGCTCCATCGTTTGTGACTGTGACATCCTGTGTCAAATGTAAGCACAACCAGCATAAACCAAGGTCGAATTGGCGATGTTTACCCCTATATCATCCACCATCATCTTATCTAGCCCGGAGGGGCCAAACGAGCTTTTCACCACATTGGCGATGGCCTGTGTTGCGAGAACTGGAAAGACGCCTTAGAAACAACAGCTGCATCCATCGAGAGAGAGCTTCAACGCACCATTCTGATCGCGAATGTCAGAGCCACTCAACTTGGTTCCTCCTAGGACTGGTATACCAAACGGCGGCCTGTCAGCTTAGCTGCCTTGCGGGTCAAGCAAGCAATAAACAAGGGGGCTCAACTCACACAGGGTCCCGGAATTCCGCGACTGCTCAAAGATGCTTGCCATGGCCGTCTCTCAGCGCCTGGATGCCTTCGTCTGCCGGTGCCTCAAGCCTGTATAACCGTCGTTCAAAGAGCCGCAAACAAGAATGGTTGCCGTCGGTTGTTTTTCTCTTCTTGTCCAGCGCAAAAGAAGAACAAAAAGCAGCTTTTGGGCCTATTCTGCCACCTCGAAGGCGGTGAAACTCTTTTTGTGTGGCATTTTCGACCCCTCCAAACTTTTTGTGCGTGTGGGGGAAAAAAGAAGGACAAAACTGCATGTACAACTTCACAGCATCCGGCGCTTCAACAATCTCAGCTCTTCTCTACTGCTCGACACAGCTTGATACTGGTTGCTACTCGAAGGAACAGCCATGTCGGGCCAGGAATCTGCTGCTCCCGCCGCCGCGACCGAGCCGACTTCGCTTCCTGAGCGCAGCGCAAACCCCGCAGGCGACGCTGCCGCCCCCCAGCCAGCAGAGATATCGAAGAACGCCGCGAAGAAGGCTGCTAAGAAGGAGAAGCTTGCTCAGGGCAAGGCTGGGAAGGCAGAGAAGGCAGAAAAAGGGATTGGGCACAGTGGAACGAAGCATGCAGCTGTGAAGCCGGCAAAGAAGAAGGGCGATGGACCTGCGCTGATCGGTATAGATGTGGCCAAGGAGGACGATTTTGCAGCATGGTACCAGCAGGTACTGCTCAAGGGCGAGATGCTGGACTACTATGATGTATCTGGATGCTTTGTTCTTAAGGTATGCTGGTTTTTACTGCTACAGTTTGGGTTTACAGGCTGGGGAGTCACAGCAAGTCACTAACTATGGCTATAGCCTCACTCCTTTTTCATATGGGAACAGATCCAGAGCTGGTTTGATGCCAAAATCAAGCAGATGAATGTCAAGAACTGCTCATTTCCCCTATTCGTGTCCGAAGATGTTTTGAAGAAGGAAAAAGACCATATAGAGGGCTTTGCTGCCGAAGTTGCTTGGGTGACTCATGCGTAAGCACTACCCCCTTTGTCTCTTTAAGTGGCTACCAAAACCATTCAACTGACGATGCTTCATAGTGGAAACTCTCCTCTCGAGAAGAAAATAGCTATTCGTCCCACTTCCGAAACTGTTATGTACCCATACTACGCCAAATGGATTCGAAGTCACCGCGACCTGCCACTCAAACTCAACCAGTGGAACTCTGTCGTCAGATGGGAGTTCAAGAACCCACAGCCATTCCTGCGTACAAGAGAGTTCCTATGGCAAGAAGGTCACACTGCTCATTTAACAAGAGAAGAAGCTCATACGGAGGTTCTCCAGATTCTCCAGCACTATGCTCATGTTTATGAAGAACTTCTCGCTGTCCCTGTCATTCAGGGTCAGAAGACCGACAAAGAGAAATTTGCCGGTGGTCTATATACCACTACCGTAGAAGGATACATTCCAGCCACTGGACGTGGAATTCAGGGAGGAACATCTCACGGCCTTGGCCAGAACTTTAGCAAGATGTTCGGTATCACTGTTGAAGACCCATCTGCCCGCCCAGACGAGAAGAAACCACCATTGCATGTCTGGCAGAACTCTTGGGGTCTGTCCACTCGAACCATCGGTGTGATGGTCATGATCCATGGTGATAACCGTGGATTGGTTCTTCCACCACGTGTTGCCGATATCCAAACCGTCATTGTTCCCGTTGGTCTGGGCGCAAAAACCCCAGACGAGGAGCGCGCAGCTATAATGGCTGAGATTGAAGCCATAGCCACGGTACTATCTGCAGCCGGCGTCCGTGTTGAAGTTGACAAGCGTGATGGATATACCCCTGGATGGAAGTTCAATGACTGGGAGCTTAAGGGCATCCCTCTCCGCCTAGAATTTGGCCCTGGGGAATCTGCTGGCTCCTTTGTCACTACCTCGCGTCGTGACATCGCTGGAAAGGAGGGCAAATCCTCCATTCAGATTAAAGACCTGGGTACCGCTGTTCCCGCCTTGCTTGAGACCATACAAGCAGACCTCTACTCCCGTGCTAAGGCATCATTTGATGAGAACCTTAAGAAGATCACTAACTGGGATGATTTCTGTCCTGCCCTGAACTCCAAGAATATATGCATGATTCCACACTGCTTGACCGAGGAATGTGAGGATCAGATCAAGGAGATGAGTGCCAGAAAGGCCGAGGAGGAGTCTGGTGAACCCCAAGATGCCAAAGCTCCAAGCATGGGTGCTAAGAGTTTGTGTATTCCGTTCGATCAGCCAGAAGGTATCGAACTTGGAGTAACCAAATGTACCAACCCCAAATGTGAAAAGACTGCCGAGAAGTGGTGCATGTTTGGACGTAAGTGCTCCCCATTCTATTGAACTAACTAGTTATTTTATTGGCCGAGTCTAACTTGCTTTTTCCAGGATCATATTAAACGAATCCTCCTTTTGATACCACAAGATTAAGCCTTCACTGCTTTGCAACATACCTAGGAGTTACTTAGCCATTGAATTCAATGAATTTTTGTACTTTATTTCTCAATGATTGATGTCATGATCATATCTAAAGGTGGCGAATCGAATAGATATACAAGAGTATATTCTATAGCTCCACACTTTACAGCCTCCCAACCTCTACTGAATTCTACCGTTGACGCTATAACTCAACTGAAAATCGAGTCCGCAAGTACTCCCCGTATCGATAAAACAACCATGGTACCGGCGTGAACGCCAGGATAATGAATCCTAGCACACTATTGCCCCAACCCAATCCCAGCTTTCCATATAGTGGCCCTGCAGCAAGGTCGAGAAAAGCACCGAATGGCGAGCGGATGAGTAGATTGGCAGCAAGTGCGGAGGCAGCGGCCTGCGGTCCGAATGCATCAACACAGTAAATCTGGGCCGGGGTCATTATAAACAGCGATGAAAACCCCATGATGACTGTCCCTAATATCGGTATCGTCCAGTGTGTATGGTAATGCGCGGCCCAGCCATATATGAAACAGCCAATTGGGGTTGCAAGTCCGAACCATTTCATCGGAATCAAACGCTGCTCTGGTTTGGCCATGGACTCCCCTGGTTTCTTAACCAGCACCCTATCACTCACGACGGAAAATACAGCCAAACCTATCATCATCCCAACACCGAGACCAAGGTATGCAAGGCCAGACGTCCCACTGCTAAATCCATAAGTATTCTGGAATACTGATGGGAAAGTAGCGAAAAGCAGGAAAAAGAAGCCATATACTAGCCCTGCATATAGGGCAAGGAGTAAAACTATAGGTGAGAAAATGAGCAACTTCATCGGACGGATAATTGCCTGGAGGATCATTTGATGAGGAGCCCCCTTTTTGACCAATTTCGGTTTGAGATTTGGGTTTCCTGTCTTTTTTCTTAGGCGTTTCGCCTTGTTCTGCAATATGGTTGGTGCGTACGTCTCCTTTAGGAATAAGAAAGTACCGATGCTAATAATCCCAGCCTGTGAATACATCAGAATCAAACCTAACCTAACTGTAGCAGGAGTAGCCTACCAATATCAAAATAACCCTCAAGGTCCAGCGCCAGGTGGCATACTGGGATATAAAACCACCGATAGCAGGGCCAAGAACCTATTCGTGTGCCAAGTCAGTAGGATTATTGGTTACTCCTCGGGTAGAAGATCACATACAGGGCCTAGCATGGGCCCCAGAGTGAATATGCTTATAGCCCTTCCTCGCTCCTCCTGAGGGATGATATCAGCTAATGTGCCCCCTCCTATACTCATGGGACCGGAGGCAGCACAGCCGCATATAAATCGAAAGGCAAGGAACATCTCCACATTGGTACTGAATGTGCATCCTGCGGTAAAGGCCAGGAATACCAGGATACATGTGTAGTAAATGACAAGGCGGCCGTATAGTTCGGAGAGAGGCCCAAATATAATCGGACCTAGAGCAAATCCAAGCACGTAAATGCTTATTATCATGTATTCAACGGTAGGATTGGTGATGTGGAACTCATGTGTCATTTGCTTTACCCCGGGGGCAAATATCGTTGCGGCTAGATTCCTGAGTTTATGGATTAAATTAGTTAGGCTTCTGCGCTCTGACTGGTGCCAGTGTAGAAAGAGGAAAATCCACCTACGAGGTAAACGTATAAGAGCTCACAAATATGATGATCAGTATCCTCCTTGTTGATGACCAATTGAGCGGGTTCTCCGGATCATCAGGCCCATCCCAGTCAACAATATTGGGGTCTGGAGATTGCTGGTTGGCTTCCACCCTCTCGAGCTGGGCATCTCCCTCAACCTTCTCCGCGGCCAGGCTCCCATTGGTGTGTTGTGTAGTAGTTTCAGGTATGCTGGATGGGCTCGTTGGCTCTCCCATCGTAAGCAAGCTTTCTCTGACTCCCGGACCGCCTTGTAATTAATCAACCTGGAGTACTCTGCAAAGGTGAGGTTGAGCCAAGAGGGTATAGTTGATGCGAGATGGGAATAACATCCATATTTGCAGGGACCGAGACTCGGGTGTCAGATAGGCAGGATATCACCAACATCTCCCTTCAACACGCAGAACCGTCGCCCTGCTACGCCGCATGTCCTACACTCGTCGCCTTTTGATATCCTCAGAGGTCGATACACAAGTACATACTTACTACATACATGGCTACGTTGTTACAGAGTGGAGCCGCGCCGGAACACGATCCCGGCGCCACGGGTCAGGAGGAGGCCAGTGCTTGGCTCGGCGGGCCGCATTCAAGCTTATTTGGCCTCGTATATCTCAAACGCCCGTCCCCAACTTCGCAACACGCGGTTACACCTTGTGCGCCTTGCGTCTGCCAGCGTAGGACGGTTGCAGAGAGAGTCACATCGGATGTGCAGGATGGACAGAAACTGTTCGTTGCACTAGTTATCCAATGCAGGTAGCCCACTTGGGTCGGGAGAAAAGGACAGATAGCATGGTAATATCTGGCCATTTATGCATAGCTCCGAATTTATCGCAGTTATCACGGCGTACAGCGATTTGCTACGGATAAAAGGAGAATCTGGAGATGAAACATCCTTTGTCCTTTCCTGAAATACTAGTGTCAGCGCCGTGTCCGCCTGAAATCAGTTTGACTCTGACTAACATCCCACGATTAGTCTACATTCCGTACTAACCATTGAACGGCTATACCTGCTAGAACAGGACCAAGCTGTCTCGAACATCGATGATGCCTAGTAATTTACTGCCAGGATAATGTCTGCAGCGACTCATCCGATATATTACCTGAGAATACGCAGCATGACATCAAAAATGCGGTGTATGAGACAGCTGCGCTCCGCTTCTTACTTACATGCATATAGTGCCGGGGGATCGTAGGTTTTCGCCCTTGGTTTGAGATGTCCTTGTTACACATCGCGTTTGTCCTGTTTCCAGGGCAATTTTATGGTAGGACAGCCTTGATGCCATGTAGCTTACTTCATATAATAACAAGACAGATTAAACTGCAGGTGCCGTGAGGCCGATAATTCTGGTATATTCGATGCAACTAACTATCAAAAGGTAAGGAAATAATATATGGGGGAATCACAAAGAATGTAAGATAAAAAAAGCACATAAGTAAACGCTTAATGAAATGCCTGCGTGGTGCGAAGGAGAGATGCAACAAAGTACATCATCCAAAGAGTAGTACATCATCTGATATACAAACATAGGAAAAGTCATAACCAGGACATACCAAACGATTGGCATCCAACCAGCCAGTTGACCGGTCAAGACTGTAGGATGCAACCGGGTTGCCTGAGAAAGTAAACGGTAGAAGGTAGAAATTTAACTGCCAATTATCCGAAAGGGCATTCGTTTTCGTCCAGAAGAAGTAGAGAGAGGGCTAATCGGGCTTTTCTTGGTGCCGCTAGAAGGGGGATCATAGAGAACGTTGTTGGTTGTGGTGTTGGAAATGACAATGGGGATGTGTTTTGGGCGTGAGGATTTGCGACAGGGTATGAATAAATGTAGTTTCGAGGACTTCATGGTTGTCGAGCGTTTTCTCCTGAGACCAGAATATGGCTTCTCCTCAACATCGCTGAAAATAGTTACTACAGGTGGGGATATGTCGCCCATGTGAACACCATCTCTGCCATTAATAGACATGGATGGTTTCATGGTCTGCGGTGTATCGAAGATGGAGACTGCCTTCGAAATGTAACCATTCGAAAGCTGCTGACGGAAATGCAAGCTCGAGTGTCCAATCGGATCTTTGGTTTGGTACATATCAGACACCTGACCTGTAGCTACAGATACTTGTTGCCGTCTTCCATGCAAGCAATCGTTGGGTTCAAAAATCCGTACTCTAGGACTGGGCGCTGGCTGAGAGCAGGAATGCCTTCTCTTGAGGGCAACGGAGTTGCTGTTTTCCGGATCCAGTTCTTTGATTGCTGGAAACGATACCTCACGCCCCTGGGAGTCTGGCCTCGATTGATGGTCACAACAGAAGCTTCGTTTGGATCGTACGCTCCCTTCTCTCGAAGAAATGCTCCGTGTTGCTGAGAGGGCCGTCATCGGCCGGGTCGTATACTTCTCCGTTTGTTTTCCGTTCGTGCTTAGGTCTGGTGTGAGAGACGGCACAGGCGAGACGGGGCTCGGGCTCTGCGGGTTAAGGTGGCTGAAGGCATCATGACTGTTTATTTCGCGGATGATGGCATCCTGGAGGGATTCGAAGGTGGGGCGCGTTGCATTCGTTTGGGACGATGCGTATGCTTGTTTGAATAGGTTCAACATTTCCGAAGCTGTGAAGCCAGTAAGCCTTGGGGACGGGTTTATTGGACTTGTAAGGGCTATCGGACTGTTTACTATTTCATCCAGCGTTGAGCTGGGCTCTCGGCATGGAGAGACTGGAACTGGTCTCAAAGGGGACTTTTTAGATATCTTTGCAAACTTCTTTCCGGGAGCGGCCAGTTGAGTGTTGATAGACAGATCCCGCACATTTCTCTTGACTCGTCTGCGAGCACTGTTTGGTGACAACAAGCGGTTTGACGAGCTATGTGCAGGGCTGGATGAATTTTCTTGTGACTCGGACTTAGACGTCGATTCTCTAGCCGTCTTAGGGTCGTCATTGGACGATTTCGATAGTGGACGTTCAATTGTCTGCTCACAGCCCTGCTCAGCTTGGGAAATATCTTGAGTTCTTCGTGCTTGTGGGAGTTTTTTGCTGGCTGTAGAGGCTTCATTGGGGTTCTGTTCCTCGTCTTCGGCGGGGTGAACGGAGAAGTTAGGAGCAGATTTCCTTGACCTCAATGGGTTATTTTCGTCCATGTCTGCCCTCAACTTCTTCCCGCTCGATAATTCGTTCCTGTTACTTGAGCATGAGGGATGCCTGCGGATATCTTGGTCCGAAGCAATGGTTCGAAGAGCAGCTGTTTCTTCACATAAACTTGAATCTGACTCTCGCTGGCTCTTCTTCACCCTCCTTGCCACAGCTCGCTTCTGGTTATTTCCGGCTACTTGCTCTTCTCCCGGAGGAGGCGAAATGAGAATAGGGGGACTGAACGGTACCATATTTCGATCTGCTACATCTTCTTGGTATATTGCAGATATAACGTGGGAATAACGACTTGGACAGCTTCCATGTTCCTGGCCGCCGCCGGCAAGGTTTCGTTCGGCAATATCTTCGTTGTAGGAGGTGGTGGTCAATGGCACAACGGTTGGGGCATGATATAGACTCTGCTTGGAGAATATAGCCTCCAGCACATCAACATGGCGCCTGGTTCGTCGAGGAGACGACATATGACCTAGACAGGAACGCCTTTGGGGCGGGCGTGATTCCAGCTGTTCGTGTAGGTCTTCGAATTGCTTTTCAAATCCAATATATTGGGGAGTGCTTCTATGGCGAAGGCGAGATGGTCGAGTTTCCGGAGAATCTGACTCTTGAGCGAGAGGAGAATATGAGTTCTGCCCTCCGTCAGTTATGTCGTAATGAAATATGGGCCTCTCCGAGCTAAATAGTTTCCTTAGGGCCGACATAGCTCCTTCGCCCGATACGCCCTTTTTGTATTGGTAAAGGGAACAGGAGAGTGGGAATACGGAGCATGTTCAGGATTGGCTTGCAAATTTTATCGTGATGACATGCAGCCGAACTATGTTAAGGCCAGTGTAGAGCATTATTGGTCGAGAGCCATTTCCTTCAGTCTTTCTGAAAAGGGGTCGTATTTTGAGAGAAGCTCCCCTGGACACAGGTAAGGATGTTTTTCTTAGGTCTAGTCTAGTCCAGGTTCAACCTTGTAAAGGTAAAGAAATTCAACCGAAAGTGTTCGGAGAAGTGAAAAAAAAAAAACGCTTGAGTATACTCCATAAGGAAGACTGGAGACCTTATACCCGGGCAGGAAAACTGAATATATACGAGGCCCTCCTCAGCCTAACCTGCGATCGACATAAGGGGTGGAGTGTTAGGCGTTCCTTGGATATTCTATTTCCATTATCAATGCATATTCAAACTATACCGCCTCCACAGACACTCTAATGAGCAAATAAATATGGAAGAGTCTGGGCCACTTACGTAGCATGATGCATATACTCCGGGCTCACTCATACATACTTTATACAGAATATATCCCAACACTGTTGAGCCAAGGTGACCCAAACTGCGACAAGTTTCGCTCTACGGAAAGCTCCGTAACTGTTGACTCCGTGGCTCGACTTTCCCGGCATTGGCAAGGTTGAAAGAGGACGCTTCAGGGGCACACTTCCCAGTACCCGAACTAGACAGTTGACTTCGGGTGGGGAAATACACCAATTGAGCCGGCTCCACAGAAGCGTTAGTATATTCCATCCCAGGGCATTGATCAGGACGATCGCAAGGAACACTTCAAGATTAGTGCCTTGGCTGCTTTGACGAGCCGCTCTCCCAGCGAGTGAGGGGAGGACGTTAAAGCAAGCTGCATATATTCCGCTGTACCAAGATGCATGCTTCCTACACCAGCACCTGGAATTAATTCGGCCGCCTCCTAAAAGTACCCCATACTAAGGACGCTCCTCTGAATTCAAGAAATGTGAAACTTCTTCTGAGGGCCTATGCATTCGACTAAGAAATCCCCGGCCGGGACGGACCATGAGCCAAACTCAGCCTTCGGCCAACAAGGGTCTCCCTAGTTGGTGGTGTGATGTCTTTCCCTCTCGCACAGAGAGAGAGGCATCGGGATCGCGACCATTCGCTGGCACAATGACAGGAGCAAGTGGACACGATTGATCGGTTTAAGCTACCTGGGGGACCAAGGATCCAGGATTACAGCATTGCCTTGCAAGATCCGCCCTCCTATCCCGTACATCTCGATCGACTGCCTTGCCCCTGAGATAAAAAGCTCCTTCACGTCTTGGAGCCGCCCTTGGTTGAATGCTGTCCGGAGCCTTTTGATAGACAACAGCATAGGGATTAGAGAACGGCAAATTCCCAGCATGGATTCCCCTTGTGCTTCACTTCTTCTCGCCCGGGTTACGATTTCGACGTGGGAAGACGCAGTTTCAGCCACATCAGTCCACAAATCGACCTCGCCAGTGCTCTTTGTCTAAATCCCTGAGAAAGCCAGCATGGCGTCAATCCATGAGCAGTCTATCTCTGCCTGGGAGAGGGATACTCCCAAGCAGTCAGACTTTTGGGCTTCGTACCTGATATCAAGATACGAGCTGGCGATGTTGCAGTTGATGAATCTCAGGTTGAGGTCAAGAGGTTGAAAGTAACCACATCGAGCCGTATCACGTAAGCGTCCGTTTCTGGAATTTTTATGTAGAAACTTAAGCCTCGATCTACACGGCAAATATTGGACTGCATTCCAATAGATCGACTATTGAACTAAGAATAAACCTAAGGTTATTCGTTTGCTTTATATAGATGCGCTGTCTGTCCAGACGATCATGGGACGGGATTTGGCGTTATCTCTGACCATCGAATTTTCCCGTCGATAACCAGCGAGCTAGCTGAGCTGGAGGGGGACTTCAAGTTGATAGAACTACACGGCGTACGGAGCAAGGACCTTGACGACCCTTAGAAGCCCTCCTTTCGAGTGACAGCCTGCTGACAAGCTGTTGTTTTTGAGGCGGAGATAAGGAGGCTGACATAGGTCGCTGGGCAAGCCGTCAGCTGCCTCCCATTACGAGTGTTGCCATCACGGGCCACTGGGCTATACTGTCCAACACAGCCATGGTTGTATATGTCACCGCCAGAGCCCAGAATTATATAGGCGTTGTGAAACCAACAGCGCCCCTCTGAAGAAGTCTACTCTGGCAAAGCTCTTCGGTTCCTCAAGTCCGGCTGATTCCAGTGCCGTATCCCCGGTAATTAACTAACCCACGGTTCGCATAAGTGTTATATAGATCCCGTATTAGCCGCTCCAGGCTGGTCTATATGCTAGAAAGCCAGATCTGTTAGGCCACCTAGATCGGACACCACGGTACCATTTGCTATTTTGACATCCGAAGAAGCTAGCCAGTAACACTATAAGGCTCTAGCACTTGGCTGGTGGCAAGTGCGTTCGAAAGCTCATGTCAATGAAGGGATAACTCAGTGTAACTTGACACTGATATCCAGCTAGTCATATGTCAGCATCTCTAACTATTGCGTACTTCATGTTGGATAGCACATGTCAACAACGCTCCTTGCTGAAGCTTTTTGCAGGTCCATGCTACCGTTGCAGAAGGGATGCATAGGCGGGGTTTAGACACTCCCATCGTACATTATATATCCTGATTGATGGAATTGAAAACATACCTTGACAGCTTCAGGTCCACAGACACAGTCACAGAAATAACGAGCCATGGAAAGCAAAGAGTTTGGAACAGCTATCCCCACACCAGGCGTAGATATACCGATCTCATCGTCCACGGTAAATGTGCGGGTTATCGATACGTATGTCCACAACACCTCCCATTAGTCACCCAATTAACAGCTGAATCGACACCAGCAACACTCTTGTCCATTTGAACCCGAAACTGTTCTGGGAGCCAATGATCGAGGGATTCACCGGCTTCCACGCACCTTCATACTGCTTCCTCGTATCCAGCGGCACCCGGAACGCCGTATTTGATCTCGGTATCCGTACCGACTGGCGGAACTATGCTCCAAAGGTTGTTTCAGTTATTGAAGAAACAACGGTTATCACAGTAGGATCAGATGTAGCCTCGATCATCGAGTCCGATGCTGGTGGCCTTAATCTCCGGCGCGAAGACATACAGGCAGTGATATGGTCACATAACCACTTCGACCATATTGGGGACATGTCTGTCTTTCCACCTACTACGGACCTCGTAGTCGGACCTGGAGCCAGAGATATAGCTCTCTCAGGCTGGCCGCAGAACCCAGACTCATTTGTCCTGGAAAGTGATACTTCTGGAAGAGTCGTTCGAGAGATATCCTTTGACAACTGCCCGAGTATTGGCCGATTTAGAGCCAAGGATTTCTTTGGCAATGGATCCTTCTATCTGCTCGATGCACCTGGCCATGCTCAAGGGCATCTATGCGCACTTGCACGTACCACGGCTGACCCTCCTTCGTTTATTTTCATGGGCGCTGACGCTTGCCACCATCCAGGCGTACTTCGGCCATCGTCATATCTGCCTCTGCCGGTTTCAGTTAAACAGGGCGAAGATAAAAGCACTGGTCATAGAGTCTTGGTTCGAGACTATGCTCGTACAAGATGTCCTACCAAATCAATATTCGAGGTTTCCCATGGATTTCTCTTTCCAGACCGCGATGCGGCCATGGAGACGGTAGGGAAAGTCCAGGAGTTTGATGCTCTAGATAATGTTTTCGTGATTATAAGCCATGACGTCTCTCTCTCAGGCGTGATTCCTCTGTTCCCCCAGACAATTAATAGCTGGAAAACAGATGATTTAAAGGGGAAAACAAGATGGCGATTTTGCGGATATTAATTTTCTCTTCTTTCATTTTCGTTTATCACCATTACATCCAGTAACCACAGCTATCACCTGTACGGCGTATGCTTACAAGACATCTCAGTCTTGGACGGATTTGACGTACATCCTGTTGTCATTTGGTATCTTTCATATACTCCATATAAAAACACTGTTCGCCGAATATGGACGAGATCATCTAGTAAATTGTGGTGGCGATGATAACCTCCAACGGTGCGCCGATATTGCGCCACAGAATATCAATATATGTGGAACAGCGGGGGAGACAGCGCAGTGGCGGGTGTGGTGATCACCTCAAGAAGGATATCACAGACTGGAAGCGAGAAGGCCGCAAGCGATGGTGGAGGCTGGTGTTAACACTCAGTAAGAGCCACCACTACTACCTAGTACATAATACTTGAGATATTGGTGCCTGATCGGTTTTTCTGCGAGATATTACCCTTTTCGCTTCAAATGCCGGGATAATTCGTCGCCTCCTTTCGTCCTAAATTGGCTACCCACATTCAGGGTTAAGATGTTAATTAATTTTGGAGGGGCTTCTTCTTCTATTATATTTCCATCTCACTGCTGCTATCGTGTGGTTTATTGTTCGCTGTTTTACTGATAGCTTGCACGGCAGACTCTTTGACTGCTTCAATAAGAACAGAGTGAGAAGCCTTCGCTGCCGCAATGGCTCCACCCATTAGGGCATCATGATTAGGAGAGTCGTAAGTGCCATCGGAGCTCGCACCAGGCATATCCCCTTTCAGCCATAGTTCCGTGATCTCGTCTAGTGATGGCATATAGCCCACAACACAGGATGAGGATATATTAAGATGCTCTGAAGGGTCTGGGTCAAGCACCACCGTCTTGGTAGATGATGTAGCCCCCTCGCCCGAGCTGCAAGTGTCAACCACAGCCGCAACACCCCCCGCAACGAGGTCTAAGCAATCGATTCTCGCGTCTGCAATAGCCGCAGAAGCCACAGTGACACAGTGCGCAAGGACGTTCATCATGCCCCAGCCATCAGATCCCGTCAAGGTCTCTGCAGTTGACATGTCTCCCCACCAGCGATCATCTTCCCCCTCTAAGATCATGATTGTGATATCTAATCCGCTTTTGGGCCATCGATCGCCAATGATAGCTCCACGAAGGGCGTTTTCAAGGTGAACCCCCAAGTCTCTCTCGTTCATGTCGCGAACGTGAGCTCTCCGCCGCCGATTAGCAAAGGGAGCGAATTTGACATGGGCTGATAGTAGAAGGTTTGGAGAAAAAGGGGTCGAGCGCGAGAGTGGTTTTGGTCCATTGACAGAACATATCAGTTTTAGAGACGAAGATGGCGGGATAAGAGAGCCGCCGGAACTGGAATTGGATGGGTGAAGTTCGAAGTACGCTGAGCCAGAGGCCGATGGGATAACTCCCGTTTTTAAATCTAGATATATCAGCACCATGCACTGCTTGCTTCCAGCTCGAATCGTCAGCATCTTACAGATCTTTCTGAGCTCTCTAGTGTCTCTTGTACGAGTCGGCCGCTCAAAGGCCGCTGACTTGTCCTTCCCGTCTGCGCAGGAGACGAACACTGGCGCTCTCGTAGCTCCTGCTGGGCCATTGATCCTCCTTCTATCCGCCATCCCACCGACAGTCACTTATCTTCTCAATGTTGTCTGCTGTATCTTTTTATCGTCTTACGCCCGTCTTTATCGCGAAGTCGTTGATGTAGGTTTTCCGAAAGTGGACGCGTCGGGCCGAGGTTGTTCCGGTTATTTTCTGCACTCAAAAAGCGACCTCACCTCGGAATTTAAAACTCTTTCTTTTCCTTCTTTTCTTCACACAAACAACAGATGAACCGCGCTCGCTCGCCACGATGGAGACGGCCAGAGTTGATGATGCTTTGGAGACTTCCAGTTGAGCTGAGTCGAGCGTGGTTCTGCACACTAAAAGGTAAGGATATGACTGCTTTTCGCTCTTCAATTCCATTTTATGATGCATATTTTCAAAAGTTCTTTCGGCGATTCACAATGAGCCTTACAGAACATGCACTACCATCTGAATACTTCTCTCTTCTTCTCTTTTCGACTAGTATCACATCGTGGGAGGGCCTTCTTGCTGATAGATGAGAATAGGTAACTGCGAGACTGCTCCATGGCCGATCAATTGAGTGGCAAGACAAGCCAATTGAACAGCGTAGGTAAGAAATTTTCCTACAACCGCCTCTACCGCACCAAAATCCTTCATGATGAGAATCATTTTTTCAGTTCTGCTTCTGCAATATCATTGAAGATAACAAAATCTTACCAAACTTCCTGATCACATTCACACCTTTTTGGACTTGTCATTTTGGAGCCACTTATCAAGTTGCATATTGACTAACATGTCCAAGTGGATAACTCTTGTAGATACATCCTACCGTTCGATTTGAAATCATACCAATATCAGCCTCCTGATCCATCGGGTTGCATAAAATGTGAGTTAAAGCGATTTTGCCTCCCATGCTACATCGTGCTACCAAACATACCCAACACATTCCTTCATGATGATACCAAGTCAATCCATTCCAAGATCCCGAAAGGGTAACCTCCATTTGATATCGATGTCTCCGGGCTTGGTTTGAAGGTCTTCTCCCCTCCCTGATACCGGACCTGTCTTCTTTCAAAGCGGATGGGGATGATTGGTTGTGGAGGAAGGCAAGGACATTTATCTTCGAATTATGGTCCGGTTACTGAGTGTCAAAGTCCTATCTGGACTACTGTTCTTCCATCATTTCGTTTTGGAGTGTTGATTGGGCGGTGGTCTTGATGGGGGAAGGGGATGATTCAAAACGGCTTACCTGACTTTCACTCACATTGCCCTGTATATGTTCGTGGGATGCAGCCTACTACCAGTCAAGAAATGTTGCTGACTGTTTGAAGGTGTAAGTTGTAGATTCATCTCATATCTAGCGTAATCTTGTATATTTTATATGAATGAATGCTATTTTTTTTTCTCTTGTCAGTCTTGTCGTCTCTTCCTTAATAGCGTCGTATATTGCCTGTCCATGGGCGTGCGTATGTCTTGTCTATATTCCTACAGAAACCAGGTTCGATACGCACTACGAGAACAAATTAAAGAAACCCGGATATATTAAAACTCATCCAAGCTACTCTAACATTATCTCATCAAACGCCCGATCTCATGTCTCTTCTCCTCTCCCCTCTTTTTTTTTTTTTCTTTCCGTCTTTATTCTCGTAAAATGCATAATAATAATAACCATGAAGAATCATATGCCATGAAGAGCAAGGGATATAAAGTGTTCATCGTGCAGAGAGCATGGGGCAGGGTAAAAGGGAGCGTGTATGCAAGGAATAGGTATGTATGTATTCAATTGCTCTATGAAACAAGCCCAAAGCATGCAGTGTAGTGTAGTTTAGTGTAATGATAT